AATTTAGATTGGTTCCAACCTAAACTTGGTCAATCGACACCTGTATTTCTATCTTCTATCAATGGATCAGATATTGATTTAATCCAACCAAATTCAATATAAATCCATTGCAGATGGACCAGGTCTAATTCAATCTTGACTGAACTAATTCAATCCAATAAATCCAGCCCAAAGCCGGTGCATTGACACCCCTGTGGTCAAGAAGACTGGAAATTAGACTCCACCATGACCCAGCACCAAGAAACTTTGGCATTAAAGAGAGATTTGGACTGACTAGGAGCAAAGCAATACAACCAAGCCACGCCTTATTCATACATAAAACCTAAATTACATACAAAGATCATTCGGAAGAAAAAACAGAGACACCACAGAAGATCAAAGGGAAGAGAAAATGGGGACACCCGGAAGAGTGGCCCCCGCATCGACGATGAACACATTGCCAGACACATATCCTGATGAGTCATGGATCAAATATCGAACAAGAGATGTCAATGCTGGGTCTGATGTGCCAAATGTTCCAAGAGGAACAGTTTTCTTCATCACATTCGTGAGCCATTGTTTCTGCATCAGTTTCTCAGTGATCTCAGACTTGAATATCCCAGGTGCTATTGCATTAACTCTTATCTTGTGCACTCCCAGCTCCACAGCCGATACCTGTAACTCAAACAGATTAGTGATAGATGAAAATCATAGTAGAGAAATACATCACAAACAGGGGTGTCAAGTACCAGATTTGGTGCAATATARGTCCATTATAAATGGATCAGGCCCARTCCAATCCGATGAATACTTTGGACCATTTATTAAGGATGGTCTGTTGACAGCTATATTCTTAATGGACCAGATATTGGTTCAATCTGTCCCAATCTCATATAAATTTATTATGGGTGGACCAAGACCAATCCAACCCAATAAATATTTTGGACCATTAAATCTGAAGTGGTCCAATTCAATATATCTTATTGGTCTGTCCAATCCATCCAAATTGATTTTGATTTGGACGGGGTCCAACCCAAAACCGGTCGATTAACACCTATTCACACATGATCAAGTAACAGAAGTATATACCTTGGCCAGTGCATTCAGTCCTGCTTTGGAAGCAGTATAAGGACAACCTCCAGGAAGCTGTCCACGCTCGGTACCAGCTATTGATGTAATATTAACAATCGATCCTTTCAAATTATGTTTGCTCATTTCTCTACCAACGTACTTGGTTACCAGCCAAGATCCTGTAAGATTAGTATTGACTATATTGCTCCATTCATCTTCAGGGAAATCCAGCGGGGTACTCACCCCACCTGATACAAACATTACATGGAAGTTAGATACACAGAGACAACAAGATCACATTAACCAGAATGCAAGTTCATCAAACCATGAATCACCAACGAATTAGAAATATGTAATATTACATCWTGCCAGGCCTGGGCTAACATGGACTAGCCCAGGCCCAGCCTTCAAATTTCTGGGCCTGAAGAATTGTTGGGCCCAGATCTGGCCCACACATTTATGGATCTAAACACAAAAACCCAGGCAGCCTTGAAGTTTGTGGGCCAAGCCAGACTGAGCTAGAAATGATCRCCCCTACAAGGCTAATACAGTAACAGTGTTGAAAGCATGGCCCAGACCTGGCCTACAAATTTCTGGGCCTAAACACAAAACCCAGGCAACCTGGAAATTTRCATTGCAGGCCGAGATAGGTGGTGTAGAAATGATCAACCCAACAACAGTAACTGACCATTCAGCTACTGGATCATGATGGCCATCCAAATAAATTCTATGCAACAGTTACAGTGTTTTTTTTAATGGGTATTTGGTGATACGACCCAATCCAATAGGGGCTGTTCGAATATCACAACACCACACTACTAAGCAGCCCGGATCGGCTGGATTTGCACACTGGGCTGGGTAATTAATGAGAGTGAAAATCTCACTAATAACCCCCCAAAGTCAGTGGTAGCGAAAAATYCACATCTATGCTGTAACAAATCAAGTAATATACTAATTGAATGAAAAAATTTTAGCTGTTGGGGCCAACAGCCTATGCTGTTAAGAGAATTTCTGGAAATGCCACGTTATTCTGAGAATGGATAAATTAGTAATTACATCTTAATTTATTTTTATTAAAAACTGAAACATGGGCATGAATAGGTAAACTGACCAGAATGTRTCCAACCCAGAAACTGTCTCAACAACCTATACTGTTGGGCCCCAACAGCCAAAATTAACCCATTAAACCACCCTTCAATTGGCTGCATGAACCCGAAAATTTGGACAGCCAAAGTTTTCTCCTTATAATAAGTTTAACCTTACCATACCAAGAATGAGAAACAGGGCACCACACCCCTCCCCCTCATAACCACATTCACTACCACCTACCAATAGATGGTGGCTTACTTGGTGGGACCTCTGGCTGGTTGTAGCCTCATAAACCGATCACTATCACCTCTTGGTTTTCCCATTAAACCCTTAAACTCTCACCCTAAACCCTAGAGTTAACGTGTAAAATGCAGTCAAGCGGATGCACGCCACTGTCACCTAACCCTATAAAAGCTAAACACAATACACATTCTTTATCATTCCAACCAAGGTTTTTAAAAACGAATCGAATTGCACAGGSAATCATTTTGGGGTCTGCTTTTTKAGTCGAATGGTCCGATTGTTCAAACCGAACATACTGTCCATTCTGAYAAAAAATAAAAAATATTAAAAAACAGCCACAACTATTATTCGGGTTGATGRTTTGAYAATTTGAYTGTYCGGGCCAAYGGTTTGTTGATCAAATCAATGGTTTTTTACCAAAAAACAGTTCTAGAGTRAAACGGAAYCGATCAGGTGACCGATTMCTGATTTTTCCAGTCCGATCTGATTTTGAAAACATTGATTCTAACATTTGTTAAGACTTAAGAAGTGAATGAAATGGGTCGGATCTGGATCGTATCCATCAAAACCAAAGAAATAAATTTGGAGGTAAGATTGATCTAGATAACCCGTAGACTTGATTTGCAACCACTAACCAACCCATTTATATATTCGTGTCGGATCTCAATGGTCAAGTGCATATATGATGGAATCAATGCCCTATCCAGATTTTGATCAGAAATTCAGAACCCTGCTCTATTCGGGACGAATTTGCTTTGTAACATGGACCTTTGTAACTACCTACCAGTTGCCAAGCATCAACCCATCAACCTAAACCAAATAATATTAACAATAACCCATCAACCTAAATATTGGCTCTGGTAACTCTGTGTTGTTACCATACATTCTTTCAGCGTAAGAGAGAGAGAGAAGGTACCTCGAACTCCAGCATTGTTAACCAAGGCATCAATTCGACCGAAAGCATCCCACGCCTTCCGGACGGAAGCCTCAATGACAGGCCCCTTGGCATTTAAATCGAGGTCCACCGCAACAGCTCTGGCTGCAGGAGGCTTGTCGTACTCCGACGAAGAGCCRGAAGACACTGAACCCGATTGGTTGATTTCGTTGCAGAGAGACTTCAGTCGATCTTTACGCCGAGCAGCGGCGACTATCATGCAACCGGCCTTCGCAAGATCCAAGCAGAGCTCACGGCCGAAACCCGAAGAGGCGCCCGTCACCATCACCACCTTTCCGTCTAACCGATGCCATGGCTCTAGAACTTTCTGGTTTTCGTACTCCATGGATTCCGAACTCTGCCTTTTCTTTTACGAGATTGTCTACGATAAAGACACAAAAGCTGCTTCAATGAATGTTGCTATATATAGAGTGAGTGAGTGAGAGAGAGAGAGAATGAGTGAAGTGAGGGAACGTAGGCAGTGACGACAATGGAGCACATGGATATGCCGCCACAAGCCGATCATCGTTCGACTCACATTATTGGGCCCATTCATGAATTCGAATTCCGCAGGCCTTTTGATAGGTGGCGTTTGGCTTGGTTTCAGATTACTATTCAAAATCGGGTGTTCACTCCAAACGCGTTTCTGAGTCTCAATATGACATGATCTTTTCAAAAAGATTTCTACGAAAATACGTTTGCCACATCAGCCTGTTGATGTAAGGGTCTATTTGGTTTACCGTCGGAATTGATTCTTCGGAATCAAAATCTAAATGGTCCATTCCCCTCACCTGTTTG